TTGCTGGACCCCGTCAGTAAAATGGTGTTGGTGAGCCGAGATGTGAAAGTAAATGAGGAAGATGGATGGGACTGTAGTCCATCCGGTGTCAATGTGGAACCCGGACACATATCAATTGAGGTCGGACAACATTCGACCCGGATTCCAGAGAATCCGAATGACTCTGATAGTGATGAAGAGCAAAGACAACCGAGATTGAGAAGCCTACAAGATTTGTATGACTCAACCAATGAAGCACACCTGATATGTCTGTTAGCAGATTCTGAGGAGTTGAGCTTCGAGGAAGCTGTCCGAGATGTGTAATGGCAATCTTCCATGGAGGAGGAAATGAAGGCGATAAAAAATAATAAGACATGGGAGTTAGCCGAGCTACCAAAGGGAAGTCGGCCAATTGGTGTAAAATGGGTCTACAAGAAGAAAATGAATGCTAAGGGGGAGATAGAGAGATTCAAAGCCCGACTAGTGGAGAAAGGGCATAAGCAGAAGGCTGGAGTAGACTATGATGAGGTGTTTGCACTCGTGGCAAGAATGGAGATAATACGGCTGTTGATTTCTCAAGCAGCCCAATTTGGATGGTCGATCTATCAGATGGACGTGAAATCGGCATTTTTGAATGGAGTACTCGAGGAAGAGGTGTGTCTCGAACAATCTCCAGGGTTCATGAAAGTCAGAGAAGAAAGAAAAGTGTTGAGATTAAAGAAAGCCTTATATGGTTTGAAGCAGGCCCCAAGAGCCTGGAACACGAGGATTGATAATTACTTTAAGAATGATCGATTTGAGCAGTGTCCGTATGAACATGCTCTCTATGTAAAGAAGAAGGAAGGTAAAATTTTACTTGTTGCCTTATATGTTGATGATTTAATTTTTCTGGGTAATGATGAAGGAATGATAAAAGACTTCAAGAAGAAAATGACAAAGGAGTTCGAGATGACGGATCTCGGTCTGATAAGATACTTCTTTGGTCTGGAAGTCAGACAAGACAAATTCGGGATATTTGTATCTCAAGAAGCTTATGCAAAAGATATTCTGAATAAGTTCAAAATGATAGACTGCAACCCGGTTTCAACACCAATGGAACCCGGTTTGAAACTCTCGAAGTATGATGGAGGAGAGAGAGTTGATCCGAGTTACTACCGGAGTCTAGTTGGAAGTCTGAGATATTTGACATGTACAAGGCCGGATCTGTGTCTGAGTGTTGGGATCGTAAGTCGGTTTATGGAAGACCGGGTACACTCACTGGAAGGCGGCTAAGAGAATTCTGAGATATGTGAAGGGAACAATCTCACAAGGACTTCATTACTCGAAGTCAGACAAATACAAACTGACGGGTTATTCAGACAGTGATTGGTGCAGAGATGTTGATGATAGGAAGAGCACGGCTGGCTATGTGTTCTTCATGGGAAACACAACGTTTACTTGGGTGTCGAAGAAGGAACCCATTGTTACCCTGTCTACATGTGAAGCCGAGTATGTTGCGGCATCTTGGTGTGTTTGCCATGCAATATGGCTGAGGAATTTGCTAAGCAAGCTGGAGCAGGAGCAAGTCAGCCCAACCGAAATTCGAGTTGACAACAAGTCCGCGATCGAGTTAGCTAAGAACCCGGTCAATCATGAGTGGAGCAAACATATTGATGTTAAATTTCATTTTATCCGGGATCAAGTTAAAGAAGGAAAAGTGGAGCTAAATCATGTTGCAAGCGGAGATCAAGTTGGTGTCATCTTTACAAAGCCACTGCCGACGTTGCTGTTAGAAAATTGTAAGAAGAAGATGGGCATGAAGGACGATAGAGATATTAAAGATTAAGGGAGAGTTTTGTTAAGTTAATCTTTAATTTAAATAAAAGAAAATAGAAATATGAAGGGTTTTATTTTGGTTTATGGTGTGTCCCTAGGCATATGTTAGTGGATAATTAATATGTTTAGATTTCATATGTTAGTCATTATTATTCTTAATCATTTGTTGTTGCTTATAAAAAGTACATTGTAACTCTTGAAAATAGGCTTGGCAGAATCGGTAAAAATAGAAAAGTATATTTAGAGAACTCCTTGTGTATTTTGTGTGTGAGAGAAACACCATTAGAGGACCTGTGAAAATATCAAAATCGAGGGGGAAGTTGCTCGCTCCGTTCTCCAATTGTCTCGAATGCCATTCACTTGGGGTTGCAGAAATAGGAGATCTGCAAAAGTTCCTCATTATGTTTCTTCTTCACCAATGTCGTTACATCACGATGATGTTGTCACAGTGGTCGAAAGGGAGACTTCGATTCTTGCAAGCCCTCTGTTCTTTGAATCGAAGAAGGAGCCTAAATTCTTGCAAATAAATTTCGCTTGCAAAAGGGTATGTTATATTATCTTCCTTATTTATCTTTTCTCTCGGTTATCTAATATTTGGGTTTTGTTTTTGTGTCAAATTTTCAAGAAAAGAGAAGAATAACTTAACAAAAACCAAAGATACATTCAATCAAATAAGCTAATTATATTTTCTCCCTTCTAATTTGTCTTGTTTTTATTTGAACTCTTGTCCATTTCTTCAATTTTGGACCCACATTTTAATCTTTTTTCATACTGTTTCATGTGCGGAGATTAAACAGGAAATAAATACTGCGAAACATTACTGTGATTAGCTGAAGATCTTCAATTTAACGTTAAAAGCAAGGAAAGAATAGGTACCGGTGTAGATACTCCCTCTACCCTAATAATAAATTCTCCTTTTATTATTATTTTTTTATTCACGGTTTGTTTTTCTTATAAATTTTTTTTATTTTTTGGACATGGGTTTTAATTTAGTTGCTTTATTTCTTTGTTGGTGGTGACTCCAATCCTTTATTTTTATTTATCAAAATTGCCGTTTTTTACAGCTAAGTAATGGCCGTAAAAGAAAATACAAAAATTCCAGTTTGCAATTGGTCCATGCCAATGCCTCGGTCATTGCTAAAAATCAACAATAGAAACAAATGCAATTGCAAATGCAAATGCCATTCTCTTCCACTGCAGCACAGGGAAAGGTCAATAGGAACACGTGTCCAATTGCCATTGCTGATGTGAACCTCTCGCCTGGAGAGTTGATCCAATTGCATTCTTCTCAACCATTCGATGAGATTATGGCAAGCAAGGATTTGAGTACAAACATGGCAACTCAAACAAGGTAGAGAAGGATTTCGATTTTAAGGCTCAAACCGGGTCTAGCTAGTACAGATAGAAGTCCCATTAGAATCAAGAACGCCTACAAATGCTTGGAGGGTTATATTTGTTCAATGTTACCCAGGGAAATTGTTTAGATCCATTACATGTCCATTCTTTTTTAATTTGCTACAAATATGATGTAATAGGGCCCAATTGCACATATATGAATGATATCACATGGAAAATTTGAATTTTATTTCTCTCTCGTAAAATCTTCTCTCTCGCTAAATTAACACATTTTATTCTTATTACTTCTTTTGGTTGATAACGAGGTGCTTTTTCCCATTACTTCTTCACAGTTTAGAAGTGCATCTGGTCCATGAAATCTAACCCTATGGAAAACTTCTCTATTTGGCATATTATAAAGAAAGGCTTCTTTTTTAAGATGAAAGAAAAATAAAACAAAATACATGAGAAATCCTAGGAACGGATCATCCAGGGAAACGAATTCCCCATAATGTCACTAGTATGGAGCTGCAAGCAGTAGTCCTCTTGAGGGTGCACAAGGACATTTGTCTCTTAGACTTGTTTCTGAACGTGGGTAGCTACTCAATTAGCAACCTTGTTGCCTTCCCTCACTACAAAAAAACTGGCGAGTAGGCACATTTGTTTACCTATCAGACAAGTAAGGAGTACTCTCTCAAGTGCTTAAGTAACAAAGGCCACACTCTCTTTCGAAGAACTTTTTTTCCTTCTCCCAAATTTTGTGTTCTAATATACCCAAGCAACATCCTCATCAACGTCGTATATCTAGCCATGTTTTGTTGATCACCATCTCTGTCTTCTTTGTTTTCCACTCCATCTCTGCCTTCTGTGCTTCCCTGGTTCGCCTTCATGGTGTCCGCAGCCAAACCCTAACAGAGCCTAGAGTTTTTTCATTCCCAAAAAAGTAGCTATTAAATAAACGAGTGATTTGTCCTTTCCAATAAGTATTCTTAGATCTAGTTCAAAGCGAGAGAAAACGGGGAAAAGAGTGAGAGCGTAAAATGATGAATTAGCAGAAAAAATGTAAACTGATTTTGAAATTAATTATTTTCCATCTAGTCATATTAATATTTATAATGAAATGAAGATAGAAAACGGTGACTAACAGGAAGAAATATTGGTTTACGGAAGACAATATAAATGTTCTATTTTTATCTTTGAATATTGCTATTGTTGAGTATGGGACATAACCAATTTACATTGGTGTAAAAATAAAAATTTTATACCTAATCTTAGTCATTGATATACTTATATCTAACAAAAAAAATTTGGACAAATATATCTAACAAAATTAATTTATTAGTCATATGAATTGTTATATATAAGTGAGTAAAAGCTTTATTACTTGAAAAGGTTTTGTTATAGCTTTTTGCATTAACCTAATTGAAATGCAATCAATAAAATATATTTAATCCTAATGTGAACATGCCTAATTGTTTTACTTTTTATAGAAAAAGGAATAATGAAGAAATAGCATATTACAAAGAAAGACGGTAAGACATCCTTAAAAAAAGAAAAAGAAAAGAAAAGAAAGAAAGAACCAATGTAACAACGATATTCGAATCTCTTGTTCATCTCTGACAAAGAAACACATCTGATCTTTACAATTGTGGAACCGCGAAAGAGAGACAACGTATCTTTACAATTGCCACATCCTCTACAACTAAATCAAAGAAAACAATACAAATACATGGAACCGACCAATACTCCAAAGAAACCTAACTACAGAACAATACAAAGGAAAAGTAACTAGTGAACAATAACAAAAAAGACGAGTGACAACATCTGAAATTGAGGAAAAGATTGCAAATACAACATTGTATTTACTTAAATCATTCGTTGACATTGCATCTACATAAAGGACATGTATCGCGAATCTTGAGCCACTTAGCGATGCAATCCCGATGAAACATGTGTGAGCAAGGCAAGCCAATTATTTCTCTTGACCCAATCTCCACGAGACAAATAGAACAATCTGTGATGGAAGAAGACTCTGCTTCAATCGTGTCCTCTTCAAGATTTTGAAAATAATCTTGTGTCGTGGACTCCTCACTTGAAACACCACTATGCAAGTCGACTGAATCAAAGACATAGCCTCTTTCTGTTTCATTGTTCTGCATGTTGTGGTTGTAATCCAATGCCACACGATCTCTGATATTTCTTTGCATGTTGTTGGTGTAAGTGAAGCCCGATGAATCAAGAACCCAAACGTCGTCCATAAGAACCCCCTCTCGGTGAGCATTCAAACCCATAAAAGGTACTAAGAAAGAAGCCATTCTTGGTCGAGAAAGAGAGAGAGAGAGAGAGAGAGAGAGAGAGAGAGAGAGATATGTAGAGAAAGTGGGAAAGTTTACTTGAGGCGAGATGAAGCGGTAATTTATAGACTTCACTTCTTAGTTGTTATTCAATGTTCATTAGCTGGATTATTATTCTGTTTTTTTATTACCGTTTCAATTCCTACTTGTTATGTTTCTTTATTCAAATTAAAGAAACAGGATTACCCTAAACGTGTTTGAAAACCTAATTTGCATTTATTAGATTTACTCTTCCTGATTTTCTTTATTTTCTTTCCTGTTTTTTTTTAAAAAATTTAAATGCCTCTTTTATATTTCTTTATTGAAAAAGGACATAATCGAAATATGCATTTATTATGCATAACGAAAAATAGTTTCCTGCTTAATTGGAAGTTTGGAAGAGAAAATATATAAAGCCAAAATAATAATAGTGATAATCAAATATTGCAAACCAGACGTCATACCTTACCACCAGGCAGGAGCTGTAAAAATGCTATAGTTCCATAGCTGTAATCAAAACCTTCGTATGATTAAAACAAAGAAAAAGTAAAAGCTATAGCTTCAAATTTTATCATAGCTTATTACCTGATTAACAAGAAAGAATGTTATCATTGCCAAAATGCATACAAGATATTGAAAATGCTATGCAAGGATTTCAAATCTTGCAGATGAGAACATGACACAAACATAACTACCATGTAAAACACAAAATATTCAGATTAGTAGCAAACTCATTACTTGACACTAAGATTTTCAACTGAGTATTTAAAATTATCCCCAAAATCTAATTTTTTTTTTTTTATTCATTAGAAAATTACCACTGAATATAAACCCCACTATGCTAAGAAACATTTGAGTAAAAATATATATTTGGAAAAAATGCAAGAGCAGTTACAAGTTTTGAAGTGCTGATCCTCATATGCTGGAATAAGCAGGGCTCAGATCTAAGAGAGTAATGTTGTACAAACAAATGCTACCCATTTACAAAATTGTAATGGAACTAGAGCTGCTCAATGAAGGAAGGACGTTAAGACATTTTTGTTCCTATTGACTTGTTTTTTGTAGGATATGTACATTAGTATATGTAAATTCTGGTGCATGGTCCACATTGGTACTCCAATACATTTCTCCCCCCGAATCAGAAAAAGTATGTAATATACAGCGCAAATTATCTACTCAAACCTGTAGAGACAAAGGAATAATTACCAACAAGGTCACAAACTTTAAGGAAGTCAGGAACTGGTTGAGACAGTTGCAATGCTGGTTACTAGAGAAGGGCGGTCACAGAAGGTAGAGGAAAGTGGCAATAATGTAAAATTAAAAAATACTGATTCAATGAAATAATCAGGAGAATCAATATATACTATGTAATTAGAAGAAATCAGTACTGTTTTATTCCCTTAAATATCTTTTTTTATAAAAGAAAAAAGTTATTGAATCAAAGAAGAATTATAAAGGATACATTATCCTCCCTAAATATAGAAGAAAAAGAAAAACAGAAAGTGACAAACATTGACATAATGATTTTACTGCCTATTATAATCTACGAGTAAATCATATTTTCCTCTTTACATTGACAGGCACCAAGGTGAACTAGTGCATGCAAGAGGTATATATACAGGGCTGAGGCTGATTATTTGAAGATTAATTAGTAGCTATAACTGTCTATGCAACATCAACCTACTGACACAGTCAGCACAGAGCAGATGAACTCTCACGTAGTAACTCATAGAATAGACTATAGACAAGAAGGAACGGAAAAAAAAGCCTTTCCAACTTCATGGAAATTCTTTGGAAGATACTCTCGAAGCAGATTCTGTTTTGACCATTAGGAAGTACAATTGAATACTAATACCAAGATGTGACTCATAATTTCATCACTGAATACATCACCCTGAAATTCCTAAGAAACTAATTGTCTATAGTGTACATTACACTATTGCTCAACGCAAAATCTTTTAACAGCCCATTAGTATTTGCTTTTTATTTTGGCGGTAGCTAACTTAAGCATGTTTGAATCTATATAATCCAAACTTTTTCAAAAAATGGCACGTTCTTGTCTTTCTCATACAGTGAGTACCTAACTCAAATTTATATTAAGTGCATTTTGATTTCGTTAGCCTATGTTTATGTACTTTACAATTCCTCTATATAAGATGATGTGTGCATTTAATGATGCCAAGAAATCAACTGAAGAGTTCATTTTTTAGAGAAACCAACCAAAGATAGATAGGTAAACCATATACCTTTTCGATAGGACTATATTGATATCAACGGAGGGTTTGTCCTAAAAAAACATGGTTGTCGAATATTCCCAAGACTAGTTGTTGGTCTCAGCTTCCAATTCCCAATCCCATCGCTTCTCCCATATTCACAATCCCAAATTGATAATTTCCACAAAGGAAACTCATTCTTGTGTGACTCAACCTCATGAGCATAGGCAAAACCATGTTGGGTCAAATCCATACCCATCAGCTCATCCTTGGCAGAGATATGAAGCAACTTCATCTTGTACAAAACCAAGAAAAGAGGACCTACGGTGACACTCACCCAACCAGCAATAACCAAAACCTGAATCTAGTATGATGATTGAAAATTATGATGTGATTGAAAATTTCAGAGATAGGAAATTGTTTGCTTTGTTTAGAGGCAGAATTGTTGGAATTTGAAACAATGAAAGTCTACAAGTGATTGCTGGCAAGAATTAAGGAGCAAACTTAAGTGCAATATAATTGCATTGAGTATCTAGGGTTAGAATGGTATATCCTAGAATGAGCAAGGTTTATTATATTATCAGAATAAAATTGTGGTGCCTAAGGGCTTGTTAGATGAGAAAATGATGGTTGTGGTTTGCAAGGGCCAGTTTACTTTCCATCTAGATGCTACAAAAATAATTGGCATCTACTAGGAGACCAAGTATGGAATGTTTTTCAATCTTTTTTGGAGAACCCGCAGTCCATTGCAGATATAAAAGGTACATTAATAGCCCTTATCCCTAAGACTAATCAGCCTACACATGTGTCTCAATTCAGACCCATATCCTTTTGTAATGTAATCTACAAGGGTATGAGTAAATTCATAGTGGGGAGACTTAAGGAGGCAATGGAGGTTCTAATTTTTGCCAATCAAGTCAGTTTAGTGCCTAATAGAAACTTGCAGGACAATATTATCATTGCAAAAAGAAGTTGTCCACTTAATGTCGAAGCTTAAGGGAAAGAAAGGCACCATGACTATTAAAATTGATTTAGAGAAAGCTTACGATAAGCTTAATTAGTCCTTCATTCATAAGGTTATCACCAAAATTCAGCTCCCTCCATGGATGGTTGAATTCATTATGGCCTATATCACAACAAACAGATTTGGAGTGTATATAAATGGGGTGTAAGAACCCGCACCGATAAATTAGGAATTTAAATAAATTAATTATGATTTTAGGAAATAATTCCATAATTGACCTTCGATAAATATGAAAAGATTAGAATAATTATCGAGAAGGTCAAATAATGCTTAAATCGCTTTTCTAATGAAAAGTACATATACTGGTTCTACTTGACGGTATATGTAAGAACCCACACTGTTAATTAAGGTATTTAATTAATTAATTATGTGAAAATAGGAAATGATTCCATAATTGACCCTAATAATTATGATAAGTGATTAAGAATGCTGAAAGTCGCTTTTCGGAAGAAAAGTGCAGATACCGGTTCTGCTAGTCGGTATAAATGCGTACCGAAAAAGTATCCCGGAAAATTAAAGTAAGTACATGATAATTACTAGAATAACATGTAGGACTTGTAAAACGAGTTTCAGGTCCAAATGATGAGAACTGGTGCTAGAAACCGGTACTGGCTTTGAAAAGCGCGTACCGGAAAGTTGCTCAGAAAATCATAAGAAAAATATGATAAATCTTAGAAAATTATGTAGTTTCAGAATCCAAAGTTTGGGATTAAAATGCTAAGCGTAGCAATTAAAGTTAATACTGTGAGTTTAAGTGGGTTTTGGCTATAAATACACTCATTAAGTGGGCACAAAACCGTAGAACCTCATTCCTACGTGAACACCTTTGGGGGCTGATCAGTTTACACTATTCCATTGCTGACTTGGTGCTTCTTTGGCTTGTCTTCACCATTTCTTCATGAGAAACCACCAAATGATCATCTTTTCTCTTGATTCTTCCTTGTAAACACCTTGTGGTTGTGTTGGGGTTGTGTAAGAGGCTTGGTTTCTGAGTTGGTGGGTTGTTTTGGGGTGCTTTTGGTGCTAACTTTGGAGGTTGGAGTTGTTGAGCCATTGTAATGGCATTTTGAGCTCCAAGGAGCTTCCTTTGTGAAGAAAGGGCAAAGATTTGTTGGCATTTTCGTTTTGTGTTCAAGTCAGAATCTTTGAACCTTGTTGGAGAGCTCCAAGAGCCTTCCTTGTGGCTGAGTTTGAACCTCCATTGGTATACCTTGAACTTTCCTTTGAATTTTCATGAAAATGGCTGGTTTATGTTATAAAATGAGTTAACTTTAATCATTCAAGCTTAAGGTTGTTAATCAAAGTCTAAAATGTGGTATTGAACTTCTGTTTTGGGTCAAGACCGGACCTTGGGTCATAGGGTGGCAATTTGGCTTCGGATTATGCAGAAAAAATCTGCATAATGTTGTTCTGCCCGCGTGGTAATCGATTACCTTGCTGGTGGTAATCGGTTACCATGTGCAGTAATCGATTACCAGTACTTGGTAATCGATTACCACCTGTGAAAATGACCAGAAACCAGTTTTGTGCAAATGTGTCAGCAACGACCTAGTTTAGTAAAATTGAGATATCTCGAGCTACAGAGCTCTAAATTGAGTGAGGTTTGGACCTATGTGAAGCTAACACATAGGGTTACAACTCTGTAAAATTTAGTAGCCATTGGATTAGTGATTTGATCGCAGTGTCTATTTTAAGTCGCGTTTTGGTTGCTGGAAATTCCGTTTGCAGTAGTCACCTTACGTAAA